CCCGTAAAACTCAATAGTTTGGGTTGTGTTGAGCTCTCGTAAAGTTCAACATTATAAAATGATCGGTGCTCCTTTTTTGTAAGTCACTGAAAGTGTTGTAAAGGGTTGGATTGCACCATAAGTCAATCAATATAGTGAAAAAGACCTTGCTCGTATCAGAGAGCTTGGTAACGGGGGACGTAGATCATTGCATTGGATCGAACCTCCATATCACATCGTTTGCACTCTGTATCCATTTTACTTAACGCTTCTACCTTGTGCAAATTTACATTACTCCATTTACGTGCTTACTTGTGCTTAGATTATTCATTATCGTTTGTGTGTTCATTATAATAAAAATCTTGAGTTGTTAACGAAAAAGTTTTGATAACCAATTCACCCCCTATTGGTTAGCCAATCTTGGGCATTCATTAACAGGGTAGCATGGTCTACAAGTCGTATTCTTAAAATTACCTTACGTGGAAATGTGGAAAGTTTGAAAGCCTTTTTATATACAAGAATGTTATATAAAATATAGCAGACCCTAAATCAAAAGTTGTTAGTACGGACCGTTCTAAATATGAAAGTGCATGGACTTTCATAAAATATGGAAATTCCTAGCCATTTATCATTGACTAAAGGTGAAATATTATTTATTTAGTAAATAAACATATCAAACTTTATATATAGTTAGATGAATATCATTTTGTTCAGCTAAGTCCTATCCAAAAGTAGGACGGTTGTTTGCATAGCATTCTCAATTAAGTTCAATGCACTCTGGGATTGTTGGTGGTGGGGGTGGTTCTTCAAATTATAATAGGGAGATATTTGAAAATATTTGAAATGATAAATTGCACTGTAGTGGATACCTTATAAACTTAAAATGCGCACAATGTTGAGAATTAGATATACAATGCAAGGATTCGAAATTTAACAGTAAATATGTTTTACTATTAACAATGTAGTTATTTTGTGAAAATCCTCAATATGATGATAATTGAAAGAAATTAGAGTTTTCAATAAATTTAGAAGCAAGTATGATGTCTTCAAAGATTTTGGAAAGATTTTCTAATTGGTGACACGTGCTTGTTATATGATTTAATTGAGATAGCTAACTACAATCATATAGCACAGAATGACGTGTATAATGGTAAGTTTCGACATATACGTCGTCAACATAATACTATTCGACAATTATTCTCAAATGAAAAATACTAATTATTTTATCAAAAATAACATATCTGGTCTGTTTACAAATGAGTTTTCTAGAGTGAATAATCTGCGCATCAAGGGAAATTGGTGTAAAACTAATAGGTTAGCTTAATGAAAACCTAATATGGCGATTTGAGATTCCACGGACTAGGTTTATTAAGAAAACAAGTTATTATTGACTCGATGAAAATCACTTCGGAGTTGTAACTCCTCCCCATTTCTATAATGCAAATAAGTGTTGCCTATAGTTGGGTTGGGAATCCAACCTGGATCCTATTTCCTCCAAGAGACCTTCCGATTGAGAAAGAGATAAAGTTGATAACAACTGAGATCGGATCTCTCACGGAAATGGTGGGAAAAGAAATGGCTCTGAAGAAAGAAATCGGGTTCCCCTATGTTAGTTTGGTTGTTTCTATAAAAAAAATTGCTTAGACGAATTCTCTCCAGCGCAATTGCAGAATCAAGAAGGTTCATGGTCGAAATAATAAACACAATAGAGAATCAAAGTTTGATATGATAGATAATGTGTTCAAGCTATTGTCTAGGCTATAATAACGGTCGACAATTCAAAACATTGCGTTCACTGATTAGCCAAGTATGTCCGATAGATTCTTACTAGGGAAGGTTTAAAACGAAAGATATCGATCTTGATGTATTATATTTCAGTTGTACTCTTCTTCGTTTTCTTTGTTCTTAGTCGACTTCTTCCATTCATGTGGAGGATTGTTGGAATTCATGGGTATATGAAGAATAAAATGCATGAATTGAAATTTTTTCCAATATGTGTGTCGATTGGATACGACTCTTTAAGTGCAAAATGTGCATAATGAAAAGTCACGACATTTTGATAAGATACAATATAAACCATTAATCTTAAAACGATGTGATCTAAAGGTTGTAATTAATTTTGCCAAAAGATGTGACCATTAGGAAGTGACACATGAAAATATATAAATAAGAATCTCCTAAGTCCCTTTTTTTTGTCACAACAAATCAATTCCAAATAATTGATTCCTAATTCTTCCTCTCTTCAAATTCTATCAGAAAAATTCCATATTATTTTTGTGTTTCGTATTCAATATTCTTCATTCTAGAAGAGTACAATCAAGCGTTAATTCGTCCAACAAAATTAATATCGTGTTATATTAATTTTGGAAAAAGCGTTGTGTTTGATAGACGAACGATCATTTGATCATGTTAATATCAGTGTAGGGCGCGAAATCAATTCACATTCGTATGCCCCACTTCATTTTATCTCTTTCGAATTTCTACATTTTGTATGTTTTGAGTAAATCGTGATTTGCTCATTATCATACACTTACCATAGTTTCGATAAGTCATTACTCTATCTATATTTGCATGCACGTGTTTTTGTTAACGGAATATAATTTATACACCAATTTATCAACGAATTTGTCACCATTTCAAATTGGAGTGAGGTTACTACAAAAAGGTGACGACCAATCCTCTATTTCCCTCAGTTTTCGACCTGCCTTCGCGAGTCCAATGACTACCCAACACAAAATGTAGGCATTTCCCTTTTCAATGTGGTGTATAGTGTTTATATACAAGAACGTGCTTTGAATCTATTAGGTTTTATTAAAATATGAACTGTTGTTTTCATTCAATGCAAAATCGAGCATTTAATGTGTTTTAGCACTTGATTTTGCCTATTGAGGATGAGCTAAATTCCAGCAAATGACATCAGTCGGTAGTGCTGGAGGCAATGGTGACGGCAATGCAAAAAATTATCAGTGTCATATGTAGTCCAATACACCAGATGTTACCAATGTTGCAAATGAGGTTGTCACGAGACAGTTTTTTGCTGATATTTGGCAGCTCGTGATACAAAGGTATGCAAATCTTCATTAAAAAAAAAATATTAATAAAAAAACACGAAAGGTCTCACATGATAGCATCTAAATATCGTGAAACAAGATTCTTAAGCCACAGCCATAAAACAAGAGATGGAAATCTGTTGAAAAGCATATCATCCAAAAAGGTTGCTTCACTGCTGTAGCAAAGTACGCACTACAAGAAGTTGCTACAATCTCTCTGGAAGCGCATATTTAACCTGTCACATTTTTATTTTTCTTTATCATGATGTACCTGCATATCGATGAAGCGTAATGTCAGTTACCTGAATCCGGAGCTATATATGTTTGCAATGGACGATACCCTTTATAAATATCAGCCACAGAACCAGTTGTCTGTAGAAGATCGTTCTTCATCTCTGCGATTTTTGATCCCATGTACTCTTTATATGTTGAAACTGAATCGATCAGACCAAAGAGTTCCTGAGCACACATTTGAACTTCCCCCTCAGTTTGCACAATGGTTTCCTGCAACTTTGCCCTTGATGTCTTCACCAGACCATATCAAATAACGAGCATAGCATAAAGAAGAGGTCACTTGATGGAAAATTCAAAAGCATAAAAGGAAATCCAGCACTTATTTATGGACAACTTCTTATGGAAAGCAGTATAAACACTCTTCTCACTTAGACTCATCATTAGTAATTATATGAAGTGACTGATTTAGTGGTTGATGTACAGGTATTAACAAGCAATGGGCTTACCTTCAAAAATTCTGATGCTTCATTTTCAACAACATCCATGTTTTGAGCCTCTGTTTCAACATCCTCCACAATTTTTCTAGCTTCTGCCGCACATCTAGAAGTGTATTCCTGTGATTCCTTCCTTGTTAAATTAACGTGAGCTCCAACCTACAAATTGATCGTCAATGCATTATAGTGGGTATTTTTAAATATCAATTCCTCCCTAAGATGTCTTTAAGCAATTCTCCTGTGAGGCAACAGTAGAAATTAAATTGTTTAAAGCTCAACAGTACAATAGTCTCCTGTACAGACCACCATGAATCTGCTTGAATGTTCATCACTTCTTGTTTTGGCATAAAAGTAGGCAAAGCCTAGTTCCTTACTGTTGTAAAACTAAACAGATTACTCTTGAACACTGGAGTGGAGGTCATTGAATTGTGCAGCTAAAGGATTGCACAAAACCTAGAAGTTCTTTCTTCTTTTCTCACACAAATTCTCTTTCAAATGTTAAACACACGTGCATAAATTTAATAGAACTGCCAAAGGAACTAGGGATTGTAACGATTGTTTGATAAAGCTTTCGATAAACTTCATAGTAGATTTTGATAAAAGTTGATATAATGTGTTTAAAAAGTCAATAAAAGTTGTGAGTCCCAAAAAATGTGTGGAAAAAATTGAAGTTCAACCGTTGAAAATTTAGTTTTATCAAACGAGTACTTAATAACAATAACAAAGCTTCACGTGTAAGCTTTAGGAAGCTGCTGAGTCAAGAAAAAAGGAAAAGCAAAACAGACCTGAAGTTCCAATATACTATAATTGAATTAGCTGGTAACAACATAGTCTGGCTTTCTTTGCTTGCACGACCAACAATAATGCCCAAAGCTTCACGTGTAAGCGTTAAGCCTGTTTGATTTGTTTGACTAATTTTATGAAGGTGCTTCTTCTAATTAGAAAAGCTTTTAGCTTCCAAACAAAAATGAAGGTGACTTCTTCAGGAAACTTTTCTACATGAAGCTAAAGCAAAAGTCACGCCAAACTAGAACTAATTGCAACTTCTAGGCCATTACAAACATAGAGTTAAATACCAGACCAGACAAGACAGGCACCAGCTCGTTCGATCTCAAAACTTGCCCCTAGACTGATCCCATGGTGTTCATGGACCGGTCTACAGTCAAATCAGTGAAACCCCCCAAAAAACCTTTCAAACCAAATAAAATTGGAAGAGCTTAAAACACACATTGAGCCAGTTTCTTAGAAAAAAAAAAAATCAAGGCCATCACTACAAATTCAAGGATTGAAACTGAGACCTCCACCATAAAGAGGGAGTCTTTTACCACTAAGGTTATTCAGGCTTTAGTGTTAAACAATAACTAAACTTCTATATAAAACTTATCTACTAGGTATTTTATTTTCTTGATTACATATTATAGTCAAGCATAAATTATTTAAAACCTAATTCATCTAAAAGAAAACGAAAGATATTAATTTATATAATTTAGATAATTGTAAGTTGTGTATTTTTAGAATTTGGTGCGCTTTAATTTTTGAACCATAGAGTCATATTACTTGTTATATATATCTGTATTTTTTTTTCAATTATTTTTATATGAATTTGCAGTGAACAATAAGCCGTCGGTTTAACCACTGACCCAATTACCTCGTCGTATGGCCTGGTCGGGTTTGAAAACCATGGTTACAAAGGTTCATGTGCACCTAAAAGTCTAAAACAACAAAATAGACAAACCAGAAATCTAAGTCGTACATGTTGTTCACTTCAAGACTAGGCCAACCCTTTCATTTATGACCATCAATGCTTCTGACAATAAATGGTAAAATCCAAGACCCAAAAAAACCAATAGACGGTGAGGACTGAAAATAAGTATGCCTCTAAACATACATATTAGACAGTTTGAGCTATCGGTGATAAGTTAGCAGAAACCACATCGATGCAATCCTCTTTGTGAGGCCTCCATCATCATATCTAAGGATAAATACTAGGCAATCTAGATTTGCTGCTAGGTTATATGTAATATTACTAGAAACAACAGCATTTATTGTAGTAAACAGAATCTTTAGTAGTCCTTAGCATATGTTTGGGAAACATTACAAGTCACTTATAATTTTCAGTCAAACTTTAAATTTAACCAAACATTAACTAATATCCACTTGGTGCATGGACTCCTTTTCATTTTAAGGAGATTGCAATTAAAACCTCTCTTAGTTTTACTTTAGCTCACTTCCTTGTTCTTAAAAGACACTAATCAAAGAATTTAACTAAACTATCAAGTTGGATAAAAGTTATGACAAATGCCAAGAAAAAAGCAATATTCTAGAATAAAAATAGCAATTAAGGAACACGAGAAAATGTTCACCTTTCTCCCACATCTTTTTTGGGATGACCACATGACAGGCATGTGTTTTAAATTGGAACATTTTTTAGTATGTTAAAACGGAAAGCAATGAGCAAATGATTAAATATTCACTTCAAAGTTAGACGACTATTAAGGAAAAGTGAAGCGACTAGTATTAATGGTAAACCTAGAGGAAGATGTTGACCTAAAATCACATAGAATGGTGTAATTGAAAAGAATTTGGGCCTATTGGATTTTGCAAAGTGGAAAAGGAGAATTCGTCGATGAGGCTTGATCGGCTGAGTTTCATGGCCAGAACAGAGGAGGGCCAGGCATTTCCTTTTATATTTGAGCCAAAATGCACAATTATCTCCATGCCACTATGTGGTAAAGGATAGTGGGGCACATCAACTTTTGAGATTCTTCCAATACACACTTAATTTCATATTGGACAACCTTTTAATTGAGGATGTAATGTGATCTGGTAAGTTTAATGCAGCATGCAGGTGGGTGATCATTTCATGACTTGTGATTTTTAATGAATTAAGGTGTGGATGAACAAGAGGCATTTGCAAATATCTAATGCTTGAGAGAACTTACTTCATCAATGTAGGATTGAAGGGCAGAGATACGATTTCTTTTCTCCTCAATCTTAGCAGCATTCTCTCCGGACTGTTGCCGAAGAGATATCAATTCTTCCAATTTCTCTACTGAACTTCTTTTTATGTCTTCAGCAAATGAGGAAAGTGCAGGCTTAAGTATTGATTTGTAATCTAATCCCAATACTTCACCAGGTGTGGACCCCTTGGCATTCAACTGATATTGAAATCCAATTCCAAGCTTCAACCTAGAAACCAACATAGAGTAAGAGTGTGTTTGATGGATATTATTGAGGAAATAATGTATTTTAAATAGTGATGTGATGGGAAACATGTGGTTAAAAAGTAAGGAAAAGTTATTGATGTGATGGAAAATGTTATTTTATTGAAGAATGTGTGGTTGAAAATGAGTTACGTAAGAATGTATTTTTAAAAAATGTGTGACAAACAGGGGCTAAATATTCCAGCATAGGAAGGGTGAATTATAAATTTTATAGTTGGTGAAGCAAATGTGCACTGAAAATTACATAGTTAATAACTTATTAGAGGGCAAAATAACCAAGACATGGAAAACAAAGTATTGGTAATTCACCTTCCATGAAGATCTTAATTTAGTTTTATCTAGTCATTCAACAATAATGGAATGTTGTGTGCGGTCAGTGCAGAAAGTTATGCCTGTGTCTACAATATTTCTATCAATAAAATGATCAAAACAATGAAGAAGAGTCGATTTCCTATCCCTTTCTCTTCAACTTCACAAAAAGTAAATTTTAATAATTAAAACATTATTATGATATATTCAGTTCGATCACGAAACAACAAAGAAAGTCCTCTGCTTGAACCTAATGGATAAGTTTGCATCAAGTTTCAAGAGAAAGAAGACTATAAGTCTGTCTTTAAAAATCAGTGACTGAGTAGGTTAGTTCCCTGTGATAAAATAAGGAATAAAATGACTTTTTGTTCCTTTCGGTTTTTTTTCCAGGAGGGGGAGCAGGGCCGTGGAACTAAGGCTTGATTTGCATTCGTAACTGCTTAACATATTCTGACACAATCCATAGAATCTAAAGGAACCAAATAAAGACAATTAAACAATACTTCTTGATATTGAAGCATCTAGCCAATTTTCATCTCAGGGCTAAAAGTAACCAAGGAAAAAGAGGGAAGATGCAATAGAAGTATTATCTTTGACACTTTTCAACACTTGTAACAAGGTTATCAAAAAGTTCCTTAGTAAAGATGCCTATCGATAATGCAGTGAAGCAGTGAATACAGATAATAGAGAAGAAGATAAAGAAAAAAAATACAATCACATTTCAGAAATTCACCACATGTTTAAGTGGATTGTTAATATCCGACACTGCTGAGATAAAACTGATGGCACTTTCTCAAAAGTAGATTACTTTCATATTGCAGTTTACAACATGATCAGCTAAATTCCCCGCACCTAAATCATTAACAGAAGCTGTATGCTAAGGATAATTTCTCTTATCTAAAACCACAACTCTAAACACAAATCATAACTAAAAAAAAAAGAAAAAAAAATTCAATGATAATTTGTTTAAATTCAAATTAAAAACCAACAATAAGGCAAGGGAAACAGGGAAAAACCTCCGGATAGCTTGGTTGCACTCAATTGTTAACCACTCGAGCTCCTTGAATTTATGCCCGATCCCAGAATCAAGCTCCCAAATCTTCTCCTCCCAACCATTCCTTGAAGCCTCTGCGTCCTCTATTTCCCTCTCCACAGCCTGCAATTCTCTCTTCATTCTCTCTGCATCCCTTGCATTAATACCCTGTTCCTCAATAGTTCTCTTCAACTCCTCGTTCTCGTCGCAGATCCTTTTCCTCTCAGCCACCTTTACCTCCAATTCCTTCTCCTTCTCCTCAATTTTCTTTTGCACCTCCAGCATATGGCCATCCAACTGCTCAATAATCATATGGAACTTAGTCACGTCCTTCTCCAATAAAGCCTTCTCCTGCTCCAATACCTCCTTCTGGCTCGGTCCCTTCTTCAAACTCTCCAATTTTACCTCCAATTCATTCACATTTCCTTCAACAGCCTTCACATTCTCCTCTATTTTATCCCTTTCCTCACTCAATTCTCTCATAAACTCTTCGTCCAAAGCATCCACTGCCTGATCATCCCCCCTAATATAACTCAAGTAACTGTTTGCCGTGTACTTGAACATGCTATTATCCTGAAAATTCGATGGGGAGTTCAACAAATGATCTTTGTACTTGACTATCTGAACAGCCCAGAGAATGACAGCAAGCAAATTAGGCCAGGCATGAGGGGTACCCGGGGCTTTGAGTGCAGATTTGTTTAATTTCAAGGGACATTTCAGGACTTTCAAGACTTTCAGGACAAGGTCTTCATCTAATTTCTGCGCTGAGAAGCCAAGGCGATGGAGGAGGAATTTGAGGGTTTCAGTGATGTCTTTGGCTGAGGGAAGAGGGGGTTTGAGAGAGAAGGGGAGGGAGAGAGAGGCAAGATAGGCATTGATGGTTCTGATAGAAGCAAGCTGATAAGATTTGTCGGAGGTGTTGGGGAATACGGTTGACGGGCGACCGATGGAGGCGTTTGAGGGGCGGCTGCTGCAGAAACTGGCGTCGGAGTCGCGGCCAGGGACCGGGGTGGAGAGGTATTGCCATGGGTCAGCAGTGTTTGTAGGTGTGGGTGGTGGGGGACGGCGGTCCGAGGCTAAGGATTCCATAGCCCGGCGGCGACCGGCGGCTCTCATAGTCGGAGATCGAATGGGGTTTTTCCGCTTCACCCTTTTCTTCTGCCTTCTGGACTCTAGTTTTCTTTTTCAGAATTTTTCCCGCCTACTGCAGCACTGCTTAATATCTAGTGTACAGTCGTAAGCGAATTAGGACATATTTGAACCACGTTCTTGAAAAAATGCATTATTCAATATTTATTTTCAACCACACAATTTTTAATAATTATATGTAAATTCAAATTTTTTTTTTTTAATCACATATTTCCCATCACATTACTATTTAAAATACATTCGTTCCTTAAGAATGTGCATCAAACATGGCTTTAGACCCCGCATTTACAAAACCAATTAAAATTTCAAATCAAAATCAACAATTAATTTTAATCGCACGTTTCATAGAATCCACAACTTTTCAGCCACACATTTCATCAACTTTTATCAAAATTTATTAAAAATCTAATTTTAATCTCTACCAAACATGGGGCTAAATATTTTTCTCTCTTATTTTTAATCAAATATTTTGTAATAAAATAATATTACACGCAAATTTAAAAAATTTTTTATTTTTTAACCACACATTTTTTATCAAAATACTATTTCAAAATGCATTTTCATCAAAGGGGGCTCAAACATGCTCTAAAAGTAATGTTATTTATCATCATTGATGTTAAACACCAATCTATGTGACAATTAAATAATAGATTCATTTAAATATAAAGTCAAATAACTCATTTAATTCAATTTATAAAGTGCAGTTATATAAACTAGTGCTCTAACATCACTGATATTATATAGCATTATTCATACATTAATGTTGATATTGTATGATGTGTCAAAATTTGTATGTCTTTGTTTGAGCCACATTAAAATTTTCATTCTCATTTTTCTATTCATTTTCAACCACACATTTTTCAATAAAATAATATTTTTTATCATATCAATAATTTTTCCTTCTTTTTTAACTACACATTCTCCATATGCAGGAGGTCATAAAAACTATTTTTTTTCCCATTATGGCCCTATTTGGGAGGGATTAGATTTTCCTACAGTAAATCAATTCTCATTTTCAACCACACATTTTTCAATAAAATAATATTTTTTATCATATCAATAATTTTTCCTTCTTTTTTAACTACACATTCTCCATCAATTTACTATTTTAAAATATATTTTTTTAAAATAATGTGACTCAAACACATCCTATAATTAATTGTTTAAATTGTTATTAAAATTAATGTATAAAAAATTGACAATTTATCACCATGTCAAAACTAACGTACATGTGACCAGATTGGTTTGGAGATGATAAGGATGGGTAATTCAAATTTCTTGATAGAATGGAGTGGGCCAAGTCTTAGCCCCTGTTTCACATGCATTATTGTAACAAGAGGAATAATAGATTTTTGGAGAATATGTGATTAAAAAAAATGAAAAGTCTTTAGCTTTACGTTCCAAAATATTTTCACATATTTTAACCATATATTCTCCAAAATCTCACTATTCAAAACACTATTTTATAAAAATATTGGCCATAACAGTGGCTTATTTTTCAAATATCGGTGTCTCTTTTTTCAACTTTACTTTTTCTAAAAATGAATTTATTGCTCGACTCACCAACTTTTTGGTAGGACGGAAATGACTACTCGTACTTCAAAAGGGTTTTTGATATTTTTCATTTATAAATTTATAATCTTTGGTTCCCATTTTTCAAAAACTCATTTTTAATAATACATTGTTCCATAAAATAATATTACATATGAATCAATTTTTTAACAACGCCTTCTCCAAAAATCACTGTTTCTTTCCTCAAATTTCCTTTAAACTAGTGCGCAAACAAGAGATAAATTCATGCTTGAACCTCATTATTTAAAAACTCATTTTTTTCCCGTCTCATTTCCAATAAAATAATTTTACTGTAAATTTAAAACTTTTTTCCTACTTTTATAATCACACATTCTCCAAAAATTTACTATTAAAAATTATATTTTTCAAAAAATGAGGGAAACAAATTATTTAACCTAAATCCTTTGTTTGACATTAGACGTTTTCAACCTTTCAAAAATATAGTGAAACTCGTTCTTTCACTTTTTTTAATCACGTAAAATAACAAACTTGACTTTATTTCAAAAAAGGAAAAACAAAACAAAACAAAATGTTTATTAAGTCCATTTGACTACCAAAAATGAGCATAAAACAGTATCTGCGTTTCCAAGTATGAAAAAAAGAAAAAGAAAACATATAAATAACAATCAAAGACGTTTTAAAATTGATTTTCTACTAATGGAGTATTCTCAACAGGACACGTGTGGCATTCTATCATTGGCTGGTAGAAATTATTTTTTCATGTCGCTTGTATATTATGTCACTCAAGATGTATACCTGAGTGTATATGTAGCAAAGGTCTTCTGTCATTGGCTAGTGGAACAAAATAATTTTCATCAATCGATGACATTATGTCACCCAAAATGTAAACCTGAATGTACAAGTAAAATAATCTTGTGCATTATGTAATCAAAGTGCATATATATAGCAAAGCTCTTATCAATATGTCTAGTGTCAAATTTTTCAAATTATTAAAGTGTTTGGTGCCAAGTACATCATTCTTTTTTGCCATTTTGTTCTATTTATCATCAACAATTATTTACATTTCTGTCACAAAAAAAAAAAAACCTATATTTACATAATTCCAAATTCTTAACCTCCAAATAGAAATAATCAATACATGATCATACACAAGAAAGAGAAGTACCAGAGCAGCGTGAGAATACGACTCTGCAAATGACTACAATATAGAAACTAGCATATCGTGTACTTGTAAAAATGTAGTC